AGATTTAACGACCCTGCTGAGGCTAACGACCCTAACTCCTTAGCATGTCACAGACCTATTGTCTGCTGGGATGCTCAAGTGGAGTGCAGGTCTCACCCCTCCTAACTCATTAGCATGTCACTGACCTTGTCCCAAGTTAGGGCGTTGTTTTTAGGATGTCGTCATAGATGCGAGGCAAAACAAATCTTAACCCTCCTCCTAACTGTTAAGAGAAGGTTTCTGTTTCCTCACAAAAATAGCTTCTTTCACCCCTCTCTCAAACCAATTCTTCTCCCGAGCCAGAATTTTAACCTCTGTATCATCCACCGTGTGGTTGGAGGCCTTGAGGTCCTCAAGGCCTCAAGACCTCAAGGCCTCCAACCACACGGTGGATGATACAGAGGTTAAAATTCTGGCTCGGGAGAAGAATTGGTTTGAGAGAGGGGTGAAAGAAGCTATTTTTGTGAGGAAACAGAAACCTTCTCTTAACAGAGGAGGAGGGTTAAGATTTGTTTTGCCTCGCATCTATGACGACATCCTAAAAACAACGCCCTAACTTGGGACAAGGTCAGTGACATGCTAATGAGTTAGGAGGGGTGAGACCTGCACTCCACTTGAGCATCCAGCAGACAATAGGTCTGTGACATGCTAAGGAGTTAGGGTCGTTAGCCTCAGCAGGGTCGTTAAATCTGCTCCCATCTACATCAAGCAGACCTGAGATTGTTTACGAGTTAGTATCAGGGTTAGGGTGTGGCTTACCACACCCATAGGTTATAAATCTCCAACGCGCGGTCCGAGAATTCATTCCCTGAAGAAGTCCCCAGGTTGAGGACGAAACGTCGGGAAAACTTGCTAAGAAGTACAGATGATGGGTGAGAAACCTTCCTTTGCTTTGACTAATCCCTGTACGACTGAGGGCTTACACAAAATCCAGAGAGAAGGCAGGACTTATGGGAGCTCCATTTGAATTCTGACGCAAAGCCGACGGAGAAAAGCCAAAATTAATGATCATTGAATAGATTTTACAGTGTTAGCTTAAATGGCTATAGCTAATTACATCACTTGCTATGTTCATTTAATAGCGCGATGCTAATAGTTGTTTATGGACGTTACTTTTATGCATACAGCGTGCAATCCCAGAACCACCCACAGAAGAAGCGCTCGATAATGACCTTCCCTCGGCTCTCGGCTTATCATGGCAGAGTGAAAGATGATGAGCGAGCCGGAGGGAAGGAGAAATTAATTTAGAGAATGGACTTGGATGAGAGATCGGGCTATGAACAAGCAAAGACATTTCATCTTCTTAATTTTATGGCGTAACTCTTGTTGAAATGGATATTGGATTATAGCACATTAGAGGCGGGTGGTGATTGCTTCAATGATGAAAGAGTAGGAAGCGGGTGTAATTTTAGATTTTTTTGTCTTTTCCATTTCCAGTGTAAATCAGGTCTGGGTGAGAAGTATTGTTGTTGTTAGCTTGATAACTCTTTCAAAAAGCTAAAATTAAAGTTTTTGTGAAATATTAAAATCTCATAGATAAAAATCAACCAGAAGTGAGTAGATCCAAATGACATGTTTTTACCCCAGAACCAGAAAGAAACTCAACATCCAAAAACACATGGAAATAACACAATGTAAAACAGTATGAACAGGCTTAAAATGTTCACAAAATTCTTGACTTAAGTATAATTACTGCGTAAACTTAGAGAATTTACCACTAACTCTAAGATTCTGCTTAACTTTTATCGCTGCACCATTGAGAGTTTACTTGTTGGTTCTGTGTCTGTGTGGTTTGGAAACATCACAGATGGGCGGCACGGTGGCTGAGTGGATAGCACTCTCGCCTCTCAGCAAGAAGGTCCTGGGTTCGAATCCCGGTTGGACCAGGGCCTTTCTGAGTGTAGTTTGCATGTTCTCCCCGTGTCTGCGTAGGTTTCCTCCGGGTGCTCCGGTTTCCCCTACCACTAAAAATATGTACAATAGTTCTGGCATGTGCCTCCTGTACTGGCCCCACTCCCAAAAATAACAATTGTAAACCGCTTTGAGACTCCGATGTGCAGTGAAAAGGCGGTATATAAATAAAGATTACTTATTACTTACTTACTAGATAAAGAAAAGAGAGCTTTAAACAAGGTGCTCCGCTCTGCAAAGAGGACCGTGGGCTGTGAGACCAGAGAGAGACCAGAGAGAGACCAGAGGGAGACCAGCGAGAGACCAGAGAGAGACCAGAGAGAGACTAGAGAGAGACCAGAGAGAGACCAGAGAGAGACCAGAGAGACCAGAGAGAGACCAGAGAGAGACCAGAGAGAGGACCGTGGGCTGTGAGCTTCCTGTTCTGGAGGTTCTTTATAAATTCAGACTTTTAAACAAAGCTCTGAGGATTGTCAATGAGTCTTCTGGCCACCCTGGGAAAGCCATGTTCCAGCTTCTTCCCTCTGGCAGAAGATATCGCTCTCTGAGATGCAGGACATCTCGTTACGCTAACAGTTTTTATCCACAAGCTGTTATCAGTGTGAACAGAGCACTTTAATGATTTGCACTTGTTTTGAAACTGTTTTAGTCGATCGATTTCACAGTGACATTTGTTTACTGTTTTATTTGTTTTATTTTTGTCTTTTAATGTTGTTTTATGTCTGTATTTGTCTGTGCACACTGGAGACTTTTGCTAATGTATTCCAATGTGGTTTTTTTTACTGCAAATGGCAAATAAACGGAATCTGAATTATAACAGGGATAATTATGCATAGGGACCCAAATAATAAATCAATGAACAAATCTGCACATGTTGCACACACAAAAGTCAACATTTTCAAATCAATTAAAGCTTCAGGGTTCCTCGTCTAGATCTTTTTTATCAAAACCCTTAACCCCAAATTTGAGCACATTTTGACTGCCTTAAAAAAGATTCGCCAATGGGACAAGCAAACAGTGTCTTGTTTTAAAAAGATAGAAGAAATGTCTCCCCTGGAATGAGAAGATAAAGCATCAGTTCTTGAAAGAAATGGCTTTGTCCCGTTGTCAAATATTGTTTTAAGAGTCCGAATGTGCTCAAATCAAGATAAAAACCACTTGATTCAAGCAATTATAACCTCATATTGTATCATTTTTTGCAGTGAATTAAAACTGCTTTGGATTTTCTTGTCTAGACCAATAGATTTGTTTTCATTAACATCTTGTGCACATGCTTCCTGGTGTTGACGGGGTCTGCAGTGAAAGTGTGAATGTGACGACAGTAAACTTGCCGCCTTCACATCTGGAATGCTTTGGCTTATTCAGAGAGAGCAGCTGTGGTCAAGAGCAGACAGACATATTTGGTAGATGAGATGTTTATTTACACACGGCATTCACTCGCGCACAATCAACCAATCAGTGCTTTTTCACTTGAGGCCATATGTAAGACAGTGGTCCCCGTAAACAAGCACATACACACACATCTTGTTTTCAGCCCTAACTGCAGATTGTAATGTGTCCATCTTATGCTAGCGGTGTCATTTAGCCCGCTGTATTTTGGTTCATTCGTTCGTCCCGCGCCCCCCACATTGGGAACCACTACAGTAATCTTACACGATCGGTCGGTGAACGTCTCAGCTGTCTTCGCAAACACAAAAACAAGAGGCAAAAAGTGTGCACACATTTATTACACTGCAAAAAATAGAGATAATACATAATTTGTGTTTTTATCTTGATTTGAGGACATCCTGTTGTTTTAATCGTCTTAAAACAACATTTGACAATATTTTCTCATTCCCAGCGAGACATTTCTTCTATTTTTTTTTCAAACAATATCAGTTTTGCTTGTCCTGTCGGCGAATCATGTTTTAAGGCAGTTTGAAAGTGCTCAAATTAAGAAACGTTTTGCCAAATTTGAGCAAATGTCGACATCTTTCTCAACACTTTTTGCTGTGGGGAATCACTTTTGTAACTATTTATTTCTGTACAGGTTTTTATGACCACTATAATGTTCCAATTTCACACTAAACTTTAAGAGACGGGATAAACAAGCGGCGGAGGCTAACCTGAAGCGTCCCGTGCCAAAAGAAAGTCTTGTTCCTCCACGCTTCCCAGTTCAATCATTCTTTGGTCACGCCATCCACGCTCAAATGTGTCCATATTGTGAGACGTGAGCTCAGTATACAGTTAGCATGAGCAGAGGCTGAGGGAGGTGGGGGGGCGAAAGTTTCTCAAAGTCAGTTAGTGCAGCTTCTATTGGGGCATTGGGAAAGGTTTGAAGGGTCGAAGAGCAAGTCAGTTGGGTCAAGTTCAGGAGAAGTAATAAAGCTTCATGTACAGTAGCTAGAGCTGACGCAACAACATTTACCATTGTGTTCTGCTTCATTTTTTTACACATATTTGGAAATCGGTGAAGAAACGGCATTGATGAGTAGGATCTGAAACCAGCAGACTGTAGACTGTACTTCCTTGTTTTCTTTCCAGATGAAAATGAAAACGTTCACGGTCACTATTGAATACTATTACACACAGATGAAATAACAAAAGCAGCAAATCAGGGCTAGCTTTTGGCGCACAAAGCTTACATGGATGTGCATATAGTGTTGAAATAAAATCTCTTCACCCTTCACTGCAAAAAATGACAAAATATGTGGTAATAATTTCTTGAATCAAGCGGTTTTTATCTTAATTTGAGGACATTCTGACTGACTTAAAACCAAATTTGCCAATGGGAAAAAGCCATTTAGTCTCATTTGAAGAACTGCTGCTTTATTTTCTCTGACCCCAAGTGAAAAAAATATCTTGTATCTTTTAAAAAACAAGAAAACTTTGCTTGTCCTTTTTGGCTTGTTTTAAGACAGTCAAATTTTAACCTATTTTTCTCACTTTTTGCAGCGCAGGGCTATGATTTGTATGTGATTAAGACTTGGTGTGGTCTTCTAAGTTAGTGGATTTGTGAAAATGCAGTCTCAGTGATGAGTTAAGAGACTGTATGTTATTCTGAGTTCCGCCATTGCCAAAGCTCTTTTCTTAAACAGTACTAATAAATATCAACTTGTAAAACATTGCGGTCATAGGGTTCCCGCCTCAGACTGGTTGTTACAGTTCTCAGTAAACTCCAACGTGGGTCGCGAGAGTTCTTGCTGCACCGCTGAGTTCTGTTTGCTCAGAGACAGTTTGAAGATGGACCCCCTGGCTGTGCCCCGCGGAGCCCTGCACACCGAGGCCCAGCAGAAGTGCATGACGCTGGGGGAGAGGAGGATAAACACCCAGGGGTCAATGATGGAGTTGATGGAGATGAAACGCAGGGCCACCAGGTCGTCCGGGTGAGATTCGGTGCGTTTGCCGATAGAATTCATGTACACGCGTATCTGTCGAGACAAGAGCAGGGAGAGGTTTGTGTTTAATTAGTGAGTTAATCCCTCTGACAACAGTCTACATCTGTGTCCCACACCCTGGAGAACATCCTGGTTGTAAATCTCTGGACATGGCAATGCAATATGTCGGTTTAATTCTCTCACTGTAAAAAAGATAATATATTATGTAACTATCGTACTCAAATTAGGAGACGTTTAGCTAATTGAATAGATCTCAAGGCAGCTCTGCTTATGTACAAGTCTCTCCATGGCCTCGCACCAAAATATATTAGTGACATGTTAGTCCCATATGAACCAGCCCGGACTCTGAGGAGCACAGGGACTGGACTCCTGCTGGGACTCTGAGGAGCACAGGGACTGGACTCCTGCTGGGACTCTGAGGAGCACAGGGACTGGCCTCCTGCTGGGACTCTGAGGAGCACAGGGACTGGCCTCCTGCTGGGACTCTGAGGAGCACAGGGACTGGACTCCTGCTGGGACTCTGAGGAGCACAGGGACTGGACTCCTGCTGGGACTCTGAGGAGCACAGGGACTGGACTCCTGCTGGGACTCTGAGGAGCACAGGGACTGGCCTCCTGCTGGGACTCTGAGGAGCACAGGGACTGGACTCCTGCTGGGACTCTGAGGAGCACAGGGACTGGACTCCTGCTGGGACTCTGAGGAGCACAGGGACTGGACTCCTGCTGGGACTCTGAGGAGCACAGGGACTGGACTCCTGCTGGGACTCTGAGGAGCACAGGGACTGGACTCCTGCTGGGACTCTGAGGAGCACAGGGACTGGACTCCTGCTGGGACTCTGAGGAGCACAGGGACTGGACTCCTGCTGGGACTCTGAGGAGCACAGGGACTGGACTCCTGCTGGGACTCTGAGGAGCCCAGGGACTGAACTCCTGTTAGTGCCCAGAGTCAGAACTAAACATGGGGAGGCTGCTTTTCAGATTCATGCTGCTAAAATCTGGAACAATCTTCCTGAAGATGTGAGGCGGCTCTGGCAGTCCTGTTTAGCTGTGCATACAACTGAAGGATTGTAAAGATTATAGATACTCTTTTTTATGCATTGTGGCTTTTTATTATTTTAATCCCGTGTGTGTTTTTAATGTTTTAAGGTTTTTAATTACTTGTGATTTTATTCTGTTTTTCATTTATTTATTGATTTTTAATTAATTATTATAATTATTATTATCATTTATTTTTAATATTTATTTTTAATTATTATTA